ATAACTGGCTTACTGTATCAATGGAGTGGTAATGACTGGAACCACACAGCTTTATTTCATGTGGTCACATGGGCCATGGCATACACACACACACACACACACACGCACGCATGCATGCTCGACCCAAGATTTGTTTCAGGGAGTGGCAAAGACTATCACTCATTCTCAAAAAGAGATAGAAACTAAAGGAGGAATGAATAATACAGTACCTTGATCTGAATTAGCTATTTATCCTATACTAACTGAAATGATAGGAAAAAGTAATGCAACTCTTAAATGAGGGCCTATTAACAAACTCAACTGCATGGTTTATGTTAGGAGAAAAAGCACTGCACTCTGCGTGTGCAGAAATTTGTTTGCTATGGGAGTGTATTTATGACCCTGCTGGATCAAATTAAGGGTTCAGCCACTGCAGTGTTCAGTTTCTGACTGGGGGCAGCCAGATGTTTCTAAGAAACTCACATAAAGGCCAATGTTTCTAGTGTTTAGAGTCATACCAAGCTTGAAGCATAATAGTTCTCTTTAGCTACAATAATTAAATAAGCTATGCTATCATCTCATCCTCTAATACTGATTTCTATGTGCTTATTACACTATGCATTATGTGAAACAGGGCTTTGCACTTGAATAGTCTTGAACAGTTTTCAGGCCTATAGCTGCCACTTCTTTTTTAAAAAACAGTTTATATGACTCGCGTGTGTAGAGCCTACCCTATTCATTCTGATTACAAGCTATAGAAGTAAAAGTGATTCTTAGATGGATCTACCTTTCCAATGAAGTAACACGCTACTTCACATGCTAAGCTCCAATAGGACTCTGAAAAATAACATCAATAAACTATGGTCTTTTGAATTTCTATCCAGAGGAGTGACAGTTTTCGAAATTACAGTTCTATAAAATGTTAAAACCATCACATTATAGTTTTTTCCCCATTTGTACAAAATCTACTATGTACAAACAACTGTTTTTATTTAAAACATTTAAAGGTAAGAGCAATTTTAGTTCTCCATAGTGCTAAATGAAAGTGCTGGAAGACTCAACATTAAATTTGATTTCTGAAGCCCTTTTTTATTTTAAAGACATGTTGTATTCCTGATTGTGTCCGTCTATCTATATCTGTAGTGATCTTCTTTAAAAAATACTACTACTGTGGATTCTTATCACAGAAAAACCTTCCTGAAAAGCTGAAAATTTTATTCTTGCTGTAACTACAATAAAATTGAAATCACAGTCTCAGTGTACCAGAAATAAATATTAAAAGAATTTAGAGTATCCTAAAAATCATTACAGGGAGAAAATTTAAAAAGTTCACATTCCATTAGGAAATGTTACATGATAAACCAGTTAATAGAATGATCTAAAGGAAAACTAAAGAAGAATATATAGATATTTTACTTTTGTCAGATGCTCAGCATAAAAACATGGTTCTGGATTCAGCCCCCCAACCCCAAACTTTGCAATTTCTTCATCCCCTCCCAAAAATCCAAATCAAAGTAAACAATTATGTTAATTCTGTCTGTGCACTGGTATGCAGCATTCAGCAACTATATTATAAAATACAAACACACAGAAATAACATTTCCTTGCTCTCTTGTGCTCCTTCTCAATCAAGTAAACATGTTCTTTGGTTACTGATATTTTTTAAATGGAAATGCTGAGCAGTTATTACTGGAACTGGTGAGAATCTAAGTTTTCCCAGCAATTGAGATGTTACATTGAGCAGGATCCTGCCTTATATCCAGATTCACAAAATAACCTGACAAAGAAAGTTCCTGCTGCATCTCCTTTTTATACCAGTGCTAAATCTGGAAAAGCATGTTAATGATTGGGTGTATAGTAAAATGAGCTCCTTCCATGGAGCCAAGTCTCATTTCCATACAGTCAAAATAATGTAGCAATACCAATGGTAAAAACTATGTTGTTCTTCTGGGATTAGAAAAAAAGATTTTGCTAATCTTTAATTTTAAAAATCCCAGGTGCCCCAAATATAATATACTTGTGTATACAGTATTTCATATACACTTCAATATGGGGTCATATGAAGACACAATTTTAAAAGAAATAATTTGCATGGAAAATGTTGTAATTCAAATGTATTCATAATGACTCTTTTTACAGTTTTGGTAAACTATCATAACAAAAGAAACATTTTGATTTTTTTTCTCCCTTTTTTCAAAGACGGAAAGAATATACAATACATATACAGGTTGACAATTTGATTAAGCTAAAGCAACCTTCACTTAGCTCAGTTCCTAGAGTTCTTTAGACTAGAAGATAATACCAATCAAAACAAAATGTTTTTCACAAATGAAACAATAAAACAAAGAACCAAGAACTATGCTTAGAAGCGAAGTGGTTTAGAACACCTATCTCTATTTCTATATATACATACACACATAAGTTTGTAACCTTCCATGAAAATCAACCTATATTCTATTGAAGAACAAAAAAGTAATTGTAAAAAGTTTGCTAATTTAACAAAATGGGAAAGAAATGGCTGCTATCAAAATATACAATTTGAATTGCAGGCTAAAAGGCTTATGTTATTAAAAAATAGTTTTAAGCAAACCCCCCTGCTTGTTATAGAGAAGAACTGTTGGCCTTTCATTGCAACATGGTGATCCAACAACGTCTTATAAAAGATTGAATTATGACTCCTTCTTTATCTGTAATAATGTTCTTGACAAATGCTGACAGGGAAATTTTTCCTCTCTGGATCACAATAGTTTTCAGAATGAATTGGCAGTCAAGAATTCAGAATCTCAAGTGGGATTTATGCTTGACCATATACCTGCAATGTAAAGGAGAGAAAACCCACATTACCAGAGTTGATATCTACATACATTTGGAAATTAAGGCATGAATTCTCAAAAGGTAAAAGTGACATATACAATCCAAAACACGAGAATTAAATTTAAATGATACATACATACATACATAAAAAAATAAAAAGAAATTGTATGCATTTGTGAAGAGGAGTTATAATTAAATTTTGGTATCATCCATTCTACTTGTTTCTTTTGCTTCTTAGCATATTGTTTAGAAATGTTGTATCTGCTGAACTTTCTGCAATAGAAGACTTTTATTTCCCAACAAATGTGTTGTCAATTGCTATTTAATTGCATAACCTCCACTATTTTTATTGGCAGTCTGAAAACAATGATAAAGAGGGCAGATAAAATGAACTGCAGTAGTAGTTTAACAGGGCTATTTATTTATTTAATAATATTTTTGCAGTTCTTCAACCAAAAATCTCAGAGTGGCTACTAAACCAGAGATCAGCTGCAATTACCTAGCACAAAAAACAATGTTTCCATTTGTCACTTAAATGAAATTGCAGATGGCTCTCTAGGAAGGAACATCCAAGAACAGTATTCTATAATAGAAAATTCCATTTACAATCACCACTCTGAGACCAAACTTAATGGCTAAACAAATTCATTCAAGAAGAGGAATAGGTAGATTGGGGCTTTGCAAGTTAAAATTATTTTTGGAAAAGGACTGGGAACTAGTATTATGTTTTCCAAGACCGGTGAATTTTAGGTAATGTATACTGCTATATTTACTACTAAATGTATTGATTTTTACCAGGAATTTTTGTACTTTAGAGAAAAAACTAGTAGATTTTTGCATAGGTTACCCTTATATTTGGGATCTGCTATATGATGTGGAGGAGACATTTTTTTTCAGAGCTATTTTATAAAATTATAGACTTAATAAGTGAGCAAGTGAGAGTAACCTGATACAGCAAGCAGCATTCTATAGCAGTCCTTATGTCGTACTAGTCTATTTATTAAATGTATACACATATAAATAGTGGATGAAAACATAGTAGGTATTGCAATTATCACAAAAACAAGAACTAAGGGAAAGAAGCATATAATACATTTTTAGAGTGGGAGTAGCATTAGAAGCCACAAAACATTCAAAAAGATTAACATTTATATGGGATTTCAAAATTCAATGTGCCATTTTTATTTGTCAAATGTATAAAGCCACCTGACTCCATAACGAATCTGGGCGGCAATAAAACACAGCTCTTTATAAAGATCTATAAAGTTTATAAAGATTCTTCTTGTAAAATGAAAGAGTCTGGTCTATATGTTTGAAAAAAAATCTGTATTTTTAAATGGAAGTTTTTGCTTTCAAGATCAGTTGATGACTCCTAATCTTTAGATAAGTATACAGTTGTATTTTCCCTTTCAAATGAGTAGTTACCTGTCCAATGTTTCCCAGAAACGCAGGAACACTGGTCTGTCCAAGTGCCGTTTATGATAACTGAGTTCTAAAACTGTTACATCCCATTTCTGGACATTTGGATCTAGACGAACTTCATCATATTTAAGATGAAAGGCTTTAACTATATAAAATGAGAAAGAAGGCAGAATAATGAATCAATAATTTCCCAAATCCAATACATTTTGGAGAATTATGACAGAGAAAACAGAACCTAGGGGAAAGATTTTTTAAAAATGTGTGATAATGTTTTTATTCTAATAACAACTTTTTATCTTTTTATAATGCTTGTTTTTATTCGCTTGTTATTTTAATTGTTGTATGCCGCCCAGAATTGCCTTGTGTGAGATGGGTGGCTATATAAATGTGATGTTTAAATAAATAAATAACATTTGGTTCAAAAATATCATACTGCCTAAGCTATTGCTAAGGGAGTCTGTAATGATATTACTGAGAATGCAACGAAATTTGAATGGAAGCTCCATTTATGTAACAGTAGTGAATTTCTGGCTATCTCAATGCCTGTGAGGGTGGAAGCATTTTAACTTCCATTCCACTGGAATCTAGACAGTTCATTAGTCCACCGAGAACTAGTTCTTCACACATATGAAATCCTGACCAGAGTCCCACTATGAATCTGTTTGTAGTCCCATATACTCCCCATTGTTCCAAAGGCCAGCATGGTGTAATGGGTGCCATAGAAGAATAAGACTGGAGATATCTAGGTTCAAACTCAAACATACCTTAAGCTTACTGGGCAAGCCACTAATTTCTGAGAAGATAAAGCTTGTCAGTAACAGATTAAAAATAAAGCAATCCCCTACAAGTCTTCTATCTCTCAGTGAAGTAGTCCATCTCCAATTCCTAAATCTGGGTTTTGAGAATACTCTGGTTGCTTCTTATGGGATCATTCTTTAATTGTGGCTTATATTTATTTTATCTTTTCATAAAGCAGTATTCCTTTGTTTTTGAAAGGCTGTCTTTTATTATGGCGTTTGTTACAGACAGTTGAAATATTTACCTGAAGTAAAAGCTACATAAAATCCTCTGCCCAACTGGGGACATCATTTTAGTCAGTCAAATTCTAAATAGTTGCATTAACTGATGAATCAGATTTGGATGCTGTGTGCCTCTGCTGCTTCCAAACATGATCCTTCTTTTAATCCAGATTTATTTTAAAATCAAAGTGTTTTGTTATTAAATACATCCTATGGGAATTATCCCAAGAAGTATCATGCAATTTCGTGATCTTCATTAATGATCAATTACATGATCGACTCATTTGTTTCTTGTAGTGGTTAAGCTACTCAACTAAGCAAGGGGAGCAAGGCTCAAGACCACCCTCAGCCATGGGAATTTACTAGTTACTCTCAGTCTAGTCACTCACTCTCAGCCCAACTTGCTTCACAGGATTGTTGTGATGAAAATTTGGGGAGACACTGCTATGAATGCGACCTTGATGGTCTGGAGGAATGGCAGAATATAAATCTAAGAGAAACAACAACAACAACAACACTAATATACACCAACAGTATATAGGGGACTCCTGATTTATGTGGCTATTTTTCACATTCCTATACAGCCAATGAAGGAGCACTGCTGGTACAGAAAATAGCAATGTCAATTAAGAAACACATGAATAATATTTGAATACTATGGCTAAGCTATAGTCCAAAGGAGGAGGAAGAAATAGCTAAAGATTGTCAGCTTCCTCTTTCCAGCAATGGGCGTATTCTATGCTTGGAGAGCTCCTACTGCTAGAATCCAAATTCTGGTTCCAATCCACATTTGTGAGATGGATCCTGCCCACATGGGAGAATCTGTTAAACGGCGGACTCACGACAGTAAGTTACCTGTGAACTGAATATTCAAATCACCATGGCAAAATATTTTAGCAAGTATTTCTATAATATATAGATAGAACAAGAAAAGTCTGATAACAGATATAGGAAAAGTGGATTTTCTTTCCATTCAAAACTTTGTAAATTAAGTACATCAACTTTATATATTAAGAACATCCTTAGCATTTTTTAAAGCCTAATCTCATATTCTATTACTGTACATCAATTTTTCTTTAAAAAGGAAGTACATTAACTATATCTAAATGGAGAATTTATGCACTTAACAAAGAAATCTATGCATGTTAAACCGACATTTTGAGTTTAGAGAAAAAAAACTGAATAAGGATCAATCTACAAAAAGCGACCTTCAAGTTCAATAGAGTTGCATTAACATGTGATTGTAAGTAAACTTTTAAAATGGCATTCAAATAAAACATTCATGTTGGTTAAAATGCCAAAATATAAAAGTTTCCATTCCAAATGCTAACTTTATCACAAACATCTGTGAACTGATAGGATAAAAGACATTATTCTTTACAGGAGCAAACAGTGCACCGTCCACAGACAAATGGATTAGAAGTCAAAAGCGGCAGACTTTTGACCTAGCATAGAATTTTGACTAGCATAAATAATAATGTGAGATACTGCAGATGAAATCTAATCCAGATTTCATTTTAAATGTGCAATACATTTAGACTTATTGCATCTCACTGTAATCCTTGTGGAGTTTAAAAGTTAAAATTCTTTAAAAGTAGATTTTCACAGTTAAGAATTTAATTTTTATGTTTAAATCATGTTTTAATGTTCTATACACATTTTTTTTGTATACAATAATTCTATATAATTTTTTTAAAGTAGAAAATTGTATAGAACTAAGAAAGTTGTTGGGATTCAGGATGCCCTTTGATATTGTAATTCAGTTTAAAATGACCCTGAGGAATAAGGCAGAAAACAAGGCAGAGACTTGCATTTTGACGAGAAATACGAAAAAGGCCTATTTTATCAAAAATACATTAAAAACAGTATCTACTCTTTGATTAAAAAATGTAGATCAGGGTTGACAGCAAAATTGAGGCATCAGCCCCAAGGCTGGATTTGCATGACTGCCTTATTGCTGATATAGAGTTGGGGGTTCTTTATGCATCTTTTCTATCTACTACACAAATCTTTGGCAATCTGCTGTTGGGGCTCTTCTTCTCATTGGCTGGCAGACCAGTGGTAACTCCTTTAGGGTATTTCAATAAAGCAATTTTGTTTTAAGTCTCCATTGCTTTGGTTCATCTTTCAGTGGACTGCTTCTTTTCCATGACTTCCTCTTTCCTTCCTTCCTTCCTTTTGTTTTTTGTTTTCTTGTTTTTTTTAAGGTATCAGTCCATAATAAACTTTGTAATTTGACATATGTAAACATGCTTTAAAACCAGGTTAGTCATCATAGTGGAAAAAATCCATTTGCCTTTGCTAATATTTGACTTCATTTTTGAAGGTCAGGAGCTACGTATTTCTAGCAGCAAACCTAAGAACTGGTCAAGAGACAGTATTTACATCATTACACGTTAAACTTATCTGTGCTCCAGTTTGCTTGCTTTATGACAAGCAGTGAGAAAACCCCACATAGGCTACCTACACCGTGGTTCTTTTCTCAGTTCTTAGCCTGACTGTTGTGACTTCCAGTCCTATTACATTCAAGAGCTAGGCTGAAGTCCAAGGTGAGCCATGGAAACTTCCTAGATGGCTCTGGGCCAGTTACTCTCTCTCAGCCCAACCTGCCTCACAGAGTTGTAGTTAAAAAAAAAAAAAAAAAAAAAAAA